CGGAGAGCAGCTTTTGTCCATGGCGGGGGGATGAGCTTCCCGTGGACAGAGGCAGCAGCATGGTCCAGGCAGGCAGCCTGTCTGTACCGGGAGCTAGTTTTTAAACTGACTCCTTTCATGGACTGGCTCTGCCTGCCACCCCGCGCGGGGGTCTGAGCTTCCCGTGGACAGAGGCAGCAGCATGGTCCAGGCAGGCAGCCTGTCTGTACCGGGAGCTAGTTTTTAAACTGACTCCTTTCATGGACTGGCTCTGCCTGCCACCCCGTGCTGCTGCCTCTGATACAGGTGGCAGGGGGCTTCCCAGGAGTGGGGCTGGGAGTGCCAGCCCCACCCCCGGGGATTATTTAATACTCATATAACCACTCAGATTTCATGCAGTTACACAACCATTCAATTACATGACATATCTGAGCATGCTGCAGAAGGGCTGAGCAGGCATAACAGAACATCCACTTCGGATTTTACTTTGTCAATCCAGAGTAACTCCACTAACTGCCATAAAATTACTTGTTTACTGACATTACTCAGCACGGTGGGCGGAGGCCTGTGTGTAACCATGCACGTTAACTGTTGAGCCCAGACTCATTGGTTAACCATGTACACGGTTACACTTTCAGATCTCTAACTTGTATATGTCCTGTATTAGTGATTCTGAACACTGAAGGACAGAAGTGAAAATAATTTACGGTTGCCAACTTTCTGATTTCAGAAAACTGAATACCCTTGCTCTGCCTTCTGCCCCACTCTTCCCCAGGGTCCTATCCCTTCTCTAAGACACCCCCTCATCACATTTCCCCTGTCTCACATTTCCCCTCTCTCACTGACTTGGTCATTTTTATTGGGTTGCAGCAGAGAGTTTGGGTGCAGGAGAGGTGAGGGCTCCAGCTGGAGGTGCAGGCTCTGGGAAGTGTGTGGGACGGAGGTGTGTGGGCTCAGAGAGAGCATGGGTGCGGGTCAGGCTCAGAACTAGAGCAGGGGATTAGAGGAAGGAGGTGTGGGATGCTGACTCTGGGAGAGGGCTCAGGGCTGGGTCAGGAGTTGGAGTGTGGAACATGGTGCAGGTTCTGGGAAAAGGCGCAGGGCTGGATCAGGTGGTTGGAGTACAGGACGTGGGCTCTGGTTGGGCGATATTTACCTCAGGCAGCTCCAAGCCAATTTGAGCTACTGACCAGTGCTAGGGGCAAAGGCAGGAGGCAGCATGCAACTTCCCTGGCCGTCCCATGCCTAAGGGCTTTCAGGGACATGCCACTGCTTCTGGCTGCCACTCAGACCCAGGGCAAGCAGCAAGTCTGCCTTAACCCCCCTGCACTGCCAGCTGAACTTTTAATGGCCTGGTCATCTGTGCTGACCAGAGCCACCAGGATCCCTTTTCAACCTGGTATTCCCATTGACACCTAGATACCTGTAATAAATTCAGTGCAGCTCAGTTTAGACTAGAATATTAGACTTGAGAAATGCTTAGGTAATGAAAGGCTTTTGATCGATAAACTGACATATTGTAGTAGGAACAGGTTAAGTATTAAACTGAGGTTTTTTTAAGAGCTTGATTCAGCATTGGCTAAACAGCAGTTGTGAGTAGTTCATTGACTTTGTTTCCAAATGGTTCAAACGGGCACTGAGTTGTAATTTCCCAAAGTTATTTTTAAAAAAGCTATGCTTTTATGGACATTTATATGGACAATGTACCACATTCAAATGTCAACACTAGGGGCAAAGGGATCTTGCCATTTTGACTATACCAGCAGCTGATCGGTTGACTAGATTCTGGCATTTAAATTTCAGCTATTTAATTTATCCTTCATACAATTATTCCAGGAGTGACACCGCATTTTTAGGAGGCAATTAAAAAGGGGTCAGAGAAGCCCAGAAAGGGTGGGATGTCCATTAATGGAGGGAAAGATCTGTCTTTAGTTGTTGTGTATGTTTGGAAACCAGGATGAGACCTACTGGAAACAGATTATCCCACATGTGCGTATTGTGGGGCTCTCACAGCTGCGTCTGAAGCATCAGGTGCCAGCTGATGTCAGAGACAGGGTACTGGCCGAACAGTGAAGTCAGTAAGCGTTATATTTTTTGCCTTTAAGAAAATCAGTTCCCTCCAGTGTCTTATTAATTGTATATCAATTTTTTTTGTTTAATTTGTGCTGAATTGCTTGGGTTGAACTATTGAATTTGCTCTCTTTCTGAGGTAATATGTGGCCTTCTCTAATGCAGAATATAATATGTCCTGACTCTGGAAATCATGACTTTGCTCCTCTTTTCTGCAGCAATATGAAAACTGGCGACCTAACCAGCCAGACAGCTTCTTTTCTGCTGGAGAAGACTGTGTGGTTATAATTTGGCATGAGAATGGCCAGTGGAATGATGTGCCATGCAATTATCACCTTACATACACCTGCAAAAAAGGAACAGGTAAGTAACCATCACTATGTAATAGTGATTGAAATAGGCAAGATTCTCTGAATTCATACATCTTAGTGACCCTGCTTTATAAATTAATGGAGACAAATCCTGTCTGTAAGTTGATGAAATGGATCCTTTGATGGGTTTGTGTTCAATGTGTAGCCATATTCTAGCTAAGAATAGATCCCAACATATTTCCCCTACCTTTCTATTATAAAAGTACTATAAAAAGGTCTAGTCTACACTAGACCAGTAAGATCTGCTTAAGGAACACAGCTCCAGCTATACAAAATGCATAGCTGGAATCGGCTTACCTTAAGTTGAGCTTTGGTGGCGTCTACACAACAGGAGGCCAACGGGAGCAAATGCTCCCATTGGCTTCCCTTACTCCTCATGTAAGGAGAAGTACCAGACACTGGTGGGAGCAGCCCTCAGTGTTCAATTTATAGGTCTATATAAGACCCACTAAATCAAATGCCAGAAGATTGACCTCCAGAGCATTGATCTTCTGGTAAGGTCTCCAGTGTTTCACATACATTTCCATAGGTCTGTAATGTTTCACATATATTCTCATTCACAAGGAGGATTCCAAATGAAGTTTATGAATTAGACCGTTTTGAAAACCTTTTGCTGTAGAATTAATGACCTTTGGAGTGCTGCAGCTTTCAAGAGAAAATCTCTGCAGAAATTGCCACTCAAGCTACACATAAATTAAAAGCCAAAAAGAAATTCCAGCACTTTTGTATGCAAATTCCAGTTCCCAATCTTACATTATTAAAATCTGTACACCATGTGGCAAGTGGCTGATCCTGCAGCTCTGATTTAAGTCATACTCCTAAGAAGTCAGTTGGTGCTGTCCTTGGTTAAAGACTGCTGGGTTACACTTTGGAATGACACTTATGAATTTGGCCCTTTTTGGTTTTCAGTTGCCTGTGGTCAGCCTCCAGTTGTGGAAAATGCAAAGACCTTTGGGAAGATGAAACCTCGTTATGAAATCAACTCCCTGATTAGATACCACTGCAAAGATGGTTTCATCCAGCGCCATATTCCAACTATCCGGTGTCTAGGGAATGGAAGCTGGGATATGCCTAAAATCACCTGCATGAATCGTAAGTTGCTTTTGAAAAGGAACTGACTATGAATTATATCAGAAACTATAGACCCACTATGGTCAAATGTTTTAGTAAGGATACATTTTCAGCTAATGTATGAAGAGTTAAAAATGATGAATAGATGTCAATTTATATAGATTGTTCCAGCAACATTGTTAATCTCAGGTGTTCAAAACCATAAATCAAGTATCAACAAATCATGATTTTAAAAAAGTGTGAGGGAGTCTTTTGTCTTCTGGTTTCTCAGCCTTTAGGATGTATCTGGATCATGAGTTCTAAACTTTTCTCCTCAACCATCAGGACTAGAAATATATTTAAAAAACAAAAAAAGTGAAAGCTGAAACTCTCACTTAATTACAGGAGCTGGGTCTTTAAAAACACATAAAATATCATGTAACTGATAAATTCATAAAAGTTGGCATAGAGAATAATCATGGCCAAATAGGTTCCTTATAACTGTGACTCACAACCATTGATGATTCTGACTTTTAATATGCTTGTAATCATCTATAACACATAATACTTTTGTCTGTCACATGTTTATAATATCAAATACTCATTTATTAACCCTTTATAAACAATTAATAATGGAACTTTAATATAAAGTGCAACTCATTATATAGTCACATTATCCGCCAGTTTATTGTTCAGATTAAGGAATTCTTTTAATGTTTTCCTGCTTTTTCCCCTTCCTCACAGCGTCCACATTCCAAAGGACTTATTCTAAGAAATATTACTATAAACATCCTTCATCAGGAAAGGGAACTTTGTTAAATTCATCAAAACATTATCACCGCTGGATCAGGACGTGGCAGGATTCAAGGCGCTGAATGATAAATGGTGAATGGGGATTTTCACCATTTCAGCCAACGTTCTAACTTACTGTGCCTTTTCTATCACTTATAGAAGTATTATCAAATTGTTTTGAACTATGGATGCCAGAATTCACAACACATTTTACAAAAATGTTGGTGTTTATCAGCAGATTCACAAATAAAAATACAAGGAACCTTTTCCAGCCAATAAGAAATGTTAGTTTTCTATATGCCACCAGTGGGGACCATTTTATAACCTATACCAGCCTACAGCAATATGTAAACAGCTCAATGTTAGCACCAATGAAAATGTAAATAAGATGATTTTATGATGTTTAATTGTGTGTTGTTTTTAAAATCCTGTATATAAAATGAAAAGTCACACTAAGTTTGGGCATATTTAGGGTTATATGGCCTCAGAGGTCTGTAATCAATGATTTTCTTGTTTGTATGTCATTTGCCTAGGTTGGAGATGGTTTAAATATAGTTGTATTGACTGAAAACTGCAAGATGAAGATAAACACATAAGTTACGTGCCATTTTTTTGTTAATCTATCATCAGAGGTACAGTTTTTGTCCATGTGATGTGAAACTTAGAAGTAGAATATAAAAAGTGAGAGTAAGCCTGAACTAGGGACTGCTGTGTGGCACTTTTCCAGCTCTCCATTCCAGCTTCAGCAATGGTGAGAGAGGACTGCATGCAGGATTTGTATATGACAAAGGAGGCCTGTAAGAGTAAAAGTGCTAATACATTAACTCTCTCAATCAGAGTTACGTTCTTAAAATGACTTTCACAATACTAACCATAGGTCTATGTTACAGGTCTCTGCATTTTATAACGGAGATAGACCTAGGCTGTTTGTTTTGTTTTGTTTTGTTTTGTTTTGTTTTTTTAAAATTTTTGTTTGTTGTTTTTTTTAAACAAACAAAAAAATTAAAAAAGTAAATTTTGTATATATAACCATTTTTTAATCTTTTTATAAAGTAATGAATGTTTGTGTATGAATGCTGCAGCTGTGAAGCGTACTTAAATAAATGAAGTAAGCCATACTGATTTAACTTATTGGATGTTATTTAACCCATGCAAAGAAAAATAAAAGAGCTTGGTAGTTGATTGTACCCCAAAACTCCCCTGATGCATTTGGAACCATATTTCAGTTCAACTGCTGTTTCCCTGATGAACAAAATTCCTAGTAAATAGGATCACTTGTTTGTGATGAGATGGGTGATGTGTAGAAGAATCAGCATGTTGGCTATCTAAAAAGAAGTGCGCAAAAATATAGATTGCGGTGAATGCAGTGGGTATGCAGGGCTTCTTTATTTTGAATTTTTTATATTACTTTCACCCATTCAGCTCATGACTGGCCTGAACATGTATAGTTAGATAGTATTTAAAATAAGCTCTCCACAACAAGGACCATGTCAGTTTGCTTGTTTCCGCAAAGACCTTGCACTCTTTGGAGCAGTGCAAAAATATTTTTTTTAAAAAAGATCAATAGCCTGTGATATACCAATAATAATATAAAAAATAAGTTGAGGTCTCTTACAGTATTGATATAGGCAAAAATTATGGAGAGAGAAGCAAGCACAAATTGAAAATGAAGCTAACATGCAGAAATTTGTATCCTATTGAGCTGCCCATAAAGTAAACCTTGTATGGCTTCTCAGCAAATACAGTATCTACAAGTGCAAACAGTGTCTTTAAATTCCATTGACTGCTAAACCCAGTGTAACCTTACTTCTTTGTGTTCTTGACAGCGGTATCCCGCTGCACTGACCTGTACATTTTCCCCCTCTACAGCGCACATAATACTTTTCTCTATTTATATTATAACTTGTATAGTGTACAATGTGAATGTCTGTTTTTTTGTGAATGAAAGTTAAAATTTTTGTAACTTTAATATCTGCTTCTGTTTCACCAAAGAAACAAGGTTTTGCTATACTGTGACTTGTCTTGTTATTGCATGTCTTCCACTTTAAATCTATGCAATGTGATATTTTACATATGACTAAGGTGCTCATCTGCTAGGCTGTTTGTAGTCACCGTTATTTCACAGGTACTATGGGTCCAATCCAGTGCCCACTTAAGTCAAAGGGTGTCTTTTATTGAACTTTAATAGGGTTTGGATTAGATTTTAGATGAGTAGCTATACTGGATTTTTTGACAGTGTTTTAAAATATAGAGCAAGATTATTACTTGTGTAAATCAAGGCTCTGTTCATGATATAGAGTATTCTACACATCATTTCACTGTGCAAACACATACACGTCATAGAATAGGCTTTAGCACTCTGTCAACTTTCTTACTATATGTACAAATTTGTTGTATAAATCTGTTCTTTTACTTGTTTGTTTTTGGATTTAAATAATGTTGTAAGGCATTCAGATACCATGGTGACTGTAGTTTAAATAAGTTAGGTATATAGCTTATGTTGATTCTGTCCATTTCTGCCTCTGTCACTCATAATAAAATAGGACTGACAACCTTCCTTATTAAAATCAAACCCATGTTTCTTTTATTTAGAAAATTAATTGAACTTTCTTCACTTCTGGAAACCTAGTTTAATTCCTGATTTCAATCCCAAATATAAAGTTGGTTAGATGGGCACACACTAGGCCATAGGTCACATGTGTCCACATCACAAAACCTCTAGTTTTTTCTGCTCATTTTCCTCTGATTTAAAGAAGCCAAAACTCTACTCAATCCAGTGGCATTAGGACTTCACTTCCAGGAGCACTAAATGCAACTACCCACAAAGTTATTGAGGTCAAAGTTAGGAACGGGATGGAGTCAGAGATTTGCATATAAAAGTCAAAATCAGCATCCCACAGCTTCTTTGTAATTGCTACCAAATTAGTAGAGCCCTGGATGGATCCACATTTCTCCACACCGATGTGGATCACCAGGAATAGAAATCGGTATCTGCTGAGCTACAGCCCTACTCAGAGAAGATTCCATGGCTAAAAGAGAGGAACATGGTGCTGCTGCTCCCAGCAGCCAGTGCTCCCCACTGGCAGCTCCTCTTGGCTGTGTGTTTCTTCTGAATACATTTATATGTGCCAAAGGTTGAGTTGGGATGCTTCTATTAACAGCAGGAGTAAATGTTGGTGCATATTGCAGTGTCAATTGCAAAGTTTCAGCAAAAGAATATGCTGCATGAATTAACTACTCATATATATGAACCCTGTCCACAGATACCCCCTTCCCCTTTGATACACCACTACTCAAGCTTGATAACAGTAGGCACTCCCTAAACTCAGAGCCAGCTGAGGCACATTGAACTGTATTCCTGACGTGGGTGCAGATGCCATGATGATGGAGATGGAGTTGGAAAGTCCATGCAAATAGAATCTCTTCCAGTTTTGTGCTTGCAGTGCATGTGGTAGGGATGGGTGGCTCATCTTGGATAAAATAAGAACCTTCATTAAACACTTGAACTACAGACCAGGAGTGGAAGAAAAAGAGTCTGTGCACTGCAAGAAAGGCTACTGACACACTACTTCCATCTCAAGCCTGGCCAGGAAGAGAGAGTGAAGAAATGTAGTAAGGGTCTATTGTTCCACCACTGCTTTACAGATTCAAGAAGTGCTGCAAAAATAAGTTTTTTCTTTCATAGCAAAATTTCATTTCGTGTGGGGTTTTTCATGCTATTACAGTAATCCCCATTGTTAAATTGTGAGGGCCTAAAGAAAGGAAGGATAGTCCATTGATTATGGCCCTGGCCTAGGATTTGGGAGACACGGGTCTACCACAGACTTCCTGTGTGATGGGCACATCACTTAGTTCCCAAGTCCCAATAACGATACTTCCCAACTTCCCCCAAGTGAAGACAAATATATTAGAGATAGTCAGGCACTTCAGTTATTTGGGGGGGGGGGGGGGGGTAAAGGAGGAGGGGCGGGGGGAGAGGAGGGAGGGGAGAATAGAATATTAAATATTAAATAGTAAATCGAATATTTTTTCACACTTCAACTTTCAAAATCCACTTATAGCTATGAAAAAGGGAGTTTTAGGAATTCTGAACATTTGAAATGTTGCACAACTTAACAGGGAGAGACACAGCAACTTGTAGACATTCACGCAGACATAATATATACCCATGTATACATACTAAGTCAAGGTCTTCCAGTGCTGTCCTGGTAACTGAGAGCAATCATATATTGTTGCAAGACATCTGCCTGTAGAGTGATGTGATTTGAGGCTATTTCATGTAGTATGCTCCAGCAAGGGCGAATCGGGAGTTCTGGCGTCAGAAGTGGACGGGACTTTTTTGTGACTGCTGCAAGAAGATAATGTCCTGGAGCATGGGGAAAGAAACAATTTAGTCACCTTCCATGGTGCATCACCATCAGTGGGATCCTCTTCTGGCCCTATTGTTGGTACTATAGTTCTTTCTCCTGCCAGTCATGGGGATACATACATTTAGACTCTCCGAAAGTGATCCAGTTGAATAGTTATATGACTGCAAACTGGAATTTTCAGGAGCTGTCATGAAGGAAACAAGTTTTAGATAGAAGATGCAATGGCTATTCTTGGTTATTCCTTTTACTGGTGACTGGTATTATCCCCGTCTCTTCTCAACGTATCCAAAGCAGCATGGATTATGACTTGTGTGCTATGATTATAGTGTCAAAACTTTTTGTAAAAAAGGAAAAAAACCTGAATTAATATAGCCGAAAAAAGCAGGGGCATGGGAGTAAGTGCAAAGGCAGCTCTCTGAAGGTGGTAGGACAGAACTGCAATGGCTGAAGGGAGAAAGAGCTATAAAAGCACACCAGTACAGCAACTAGGGCAATTGAGGAAAGTTCAGTGGAGGGAAAGGAGTTAGTTACTATGTTGCACATACATTCTAAAAATCCAGCTGGAGGGGGAAGATCTGCAAACAGGGATGAACTGTGGTCTGTGCAAAGCTGGCTAGTTTTGTTTACAGTGTTAAGTCTGGAATTTTATTTTGCTCTAAGTCTGTATTTTTCATTTCTTTATGGTCACTAGTACTAAGCTGTCATTTCATGAGAACTGCATTTGACAGCCAAAGCTTATGTCCCTAGATGCACATCCCTCCCTCCAACTTTGCAGTAACATATTCTGTAATCATTATTCATGGGTGGTGCTGGTTTTATTTAATTATTTCTATTATCGTTAAAGAATGGTGTCTTTACTAAAGCCCCAGTCCTGGTCAGTGCAAATCCCCAGACTTGCAGAATTGGACCTTTCAGTTTGTTGGCATTAAGGGTGTATCATCATATTTGCTTTTTTTCCAGCTAGTTGTCCACTATGAATAATTTTTCTAATTGTTAGGAGCACTAGAATTTGCTCAATAAGCCTCTTGCAGGTGCAAAAGCTATATTATTTCTATAAACTCATTATGATTTTTCATCCACTGAATCAAATAAAAATTGTTGTCTCTTGATATCATAGAGGCTATTATTACCTGCCACCTCTTGTTTGGCTCAGTTCTGTGAAGCCCACGGTCCCTAGTGTTCTCTTTCAAAGGATTAGGTTGCTCACAAGCAATTTCAAAGAATTATTGGAACCTCTGTTATATTTGATTTACCAATCATTATCTTAACTGTTTCTCTCTGCTTCACAAACCTCTCTCCCAGTGCTTATAATGATCACAAACTAATTTACCTCTTGGTGTCTTCTGCAAGTACCTCAGTGAAGGCATATGGTTCCCGATCCTGACCTGTAAATTTACTGTGATATCAGTTCTCAACTGGCATTCAAATGTCTTTAACATCTAAGTCCTAGAAGTCATAATATAAATAATACAACCTCCTTCTTTCTGTGTTCTTACTCATCACACTTTATGTCATTTTTCTTACAAACCCTTGTACTGTATAGTCAAAAATGATAATTTAATATTCCATTATTACACTTCAAAGTAAAGCCCTTAATTTAAGGGCAAAGCTTACAGTACTTTTCAATACCTGTTATCAACAGATATATTTCCATCACATCTGGGAAGTGGTTTAAATTATGTATTGCAGTCAAATAGTTTACGGAGCACATAGTTAAATGAGGACAAATTTCTGGGACTTATGTATTGATTATACCCATAAGGAAGACTGGCTAATGTCACTGTTGGTAGCAGGCATGGGAAAATAGACTCTCAGTAAATACATTTAGGGTGAGTCTACACTACATGATAAAATTGGTTTAACATATGCAATTTCAGCTACATTAATTGCGTAGCTGAAGTGGAAGTACCTTAACTCAACTTTTGGCGCTGTCCACACAGCAGGAAGTCAAATGAAGAACACTCTCCCTTCGACTTCCCTCACTCCTCATGCAAGCAGGACTACCGACATCAATTGGAGCACCCCTCTCAGTTCACGTTAGTTAGCTATCTTAATCAGACAACTAATCTGAACCCTAGAAGATCGACAGCGCCGCTTCCATCTTATCTGTAGCGTAGACATATTCTTATGGACTAAACTACTTTAATTAAAGTACTATCAGAACAAACACTTATTGCAAGTGAATGTGTTCACTAAAAGCCCACTTTCTTACATCTACTACCAACAATAGCATTAGAGGAAGAATCAATATGTAATTTCCAGAAATGTGTCAAAGCATGTAGCTAAATTA